TCAATAAACCATTATCAAATTAAATATATACAACACATAATAGCCAAAAATTCAGCACATAAATACTCAAATAAACTATTAATCAAGATTAGCATACAGTGTTAATGAAATATTCAACCAAAAAAACAAAAACAAAAAAATCCTTAATGCTCAAATGTCTTGAATCAAGAGAATACAATCATATTGGTCATTCAGATTGCCCTCCGTCTAAAATTTATTTTGCTGAGCAATTTCTGCCTTCTTTCTAGCAGGGTCTCTTCATAAGATGAAAGAGGAAGACTTGAGGAACTTGCAACCATGAAGCCATGTGGAAACCCACGAGCATATGTTCCTCCAAATCCTAGCTGGATAATGAATGCATTATCTCCACATCTTTTTTCTTTGATTGGCGCCATAAGAATTTAAAGCATTTGTGAAGACTTTTATACCATTTCATCCTGCAATTAAGATAAAACATAATTAACTCTTAGAATTGAGATAAAAGTAATGACCAAATTTAATAGCGCCGCCCGCACCACCATTCATAATTGAACCTAAGCTAATAATGTTAATAAATTTTCCCTGAAACTACTATATCCGAAATTATTCTTTATCCAACAACAATGTTCAACAATACAAGGATCATTGAAAAAACACATACTAAGCATATATTAACTTACCAACTAAATAACACTACAATCATGATTAAGATGAATTGAAATATACCCTTCCCAAATTAAAAAAAACATAATTAATTTCAGCCCACGATCTAATTTATATTTGCAAATCATGTAACAAACCTAAATTTAATTGGCAAAAAAAAAAAAAAAAAACAGCACGAATATCACTTGGCAGCAATAAACATGAACAAACCTGCACTAAATAGATATTATTTACCAGAAAAGTGTACTATAACTCAATAGATGCTAAAAGATAAACTCACAACCAATCATAAGTCTTAAAGATCTATATTTTGGTTTGAATCCTACCCAAATGAAAGAAAACTCTTTTTCTCCATTTATTATAGTTTTTTCTTACACTACACTTCAAATTTTGGCTTGAACCCTACCAAAATTAAAGAGATAACTTCTTCTCCCTTTAAATTAGCAGTCTAAATTAAATCAAATCAAAACTTTGATAAATTCATATATTCCATCAACCTACTACATCCATAAAGTCAAGAAATTAAATTTTGGTGTCGAGCTAATATATTACTTGCGAAAAAGAAATTGTTTACTATTTTTAACGTCTCAATGAAAGAGTATAAACAACTATTGCTGTGTAAATTACAGCAGCCAAAAAAACAAAAAATAAAAAAATAAAACAAAAAATAGATTCAGCCCAAAAAAATAAAATTAACTTGAAATGATGTCTGTTGTCAAACTACCTCTAAAAGCTCTGCATCAATTAGCTCCACCATCATCCTTGACCCCCTTATCCCCAAAGAAGATATGAGTGAGGGCTTATTTTGACTATAAAGATCCCTTCCAACAATTTCAAACCCTAAAGACATAAAATAATAATAATAAATAATAAAAAACAATGAAGGAAAAATACAATCAGGTTATAAATTTCACATGACAAAGGAGAAAGATTTTTCCTGTTAGTGTTCCTCCGATCAATATAAAGTACTTATAATGAAAAAAACTATTGAATAATTGCTTTATAATAATCAATTATGCATTTAATTGGCAGGAGTAATGAAATTTAAAAGCAGCTAACAGAAATTTTTTAATAGAATAACCCTGTTGAAGAAACCAAAGCTCCAGAGATAGTATGATCCCTTTTACTTTCTATAACAAGGTTAGGAAAGGAACAAAGGAAAAAAGAAATAATTTCTTCTGAATAAATTATGCCGAGACATAGTTATAATCATTAGGTGCAAAAACTAGTGATCTATGTTTTACTAGCAACTGTAAATATTACTGAATCAATTAATATTACTGATTAATTGATTTTGGAACCGATAATATTCACCCGTAATAGTCTTGTAGAGACACGAGACAGAAAAATAAACTAAAATATGTGAAAAAGTTACAATAAATGAGTCAGATGGAACAAATCTCAAAAAAATAATAAACATACAATTTTGATTACCTGTATGAAGTATGAAATAAACTTGAATTATATTTGCTCTGAAGCTTCATCCCCTAAAGTTATCCAGCTATAAAAATAAAATAAAATAAAAACCTTTGTGCGTGAGCCCCCCCCCCCCCCCCCCCCCAAAAAAAAAAAGGCTAATGGAAGAAATAGGCTTATCCACAAAAATATAAATAATAAAAATAAAAACTTAGTACCTGAAGAAGGACCCAAACTGGACGATCTGTTCAAACTGGACGATCTGTTGAGCTTCAGGGAAGAGTGATAGTAGGGAGAGAAAGAGTCGTCCGATGGAGTACAAATGTGTTTGTGGGATTGTTACAGAGATTAGACTGAGATTGGGGAGTTCTAAATAAATAGGCCAAAACGACGTCGTTTGGCTCTTTTCTTTTTTCTTTTAGGTTTCGTTTGTTACGACATAAAATATTTTTTTTGAAAAATATTTTTATTTTTCAAATAAAATATTTTTCAAATAAAATATTCTATTATTTTTATTTTGTCGATGTTTGGCAAAGGTCTACATCGAGATTGAGGTCGAGTCCAACGGGCGGGACATGTAAAATAATTTACCAAAAATTTATGAATAAATTATTTTTGTTAAATTTTAATAGTTTTTTTCTTCGTAAATATTTTACGACAACTAAACACAAAAAAATAAAAAAATAATTTTTGAAAAATATTTTACGTCCAAACAAATGGAGCCTTAATGAAAAGTTAAATAAATGAATATATTTTAACATGCATAGCACTAAATAAAGCTCGCAAACTTTCCCACAAAAAATTTCAGGCCGAGCGTCAAGTATTTAGAGACGGTGTACATTGTACTGTCACCAAAGGAGGCCCTTCAGGGACATTTTTTTAGTCTGTTACTAAAGGACTGTCAGTAAAACCCAATTTTGTTTTACTTTTCGTGAGGTGGATTGGCCACCTCAGACTTTTAAGAAAAAGAAAATTTTCTGTTTGAACACACCGTCTTTTGGCTATAAACCAAGACTCCATCTTTCAGAATAACTTCTACCACTTTCATTTTCTCTAGATTTTGTAGGCTTGGAATTCCATCTTATAAACTAACAAAGATTTATACAAAATATTATCAAAACTATATAATAAATAAATTAAAAAAAAAAAAAAAACCCAATTTCTTCGATTCTACCATCACCATGTCAGTTTTATGTTTTGCCCTAATTTTTGTTTTTAAAAATTGTGAAAGAGTACCAATTGAATAGTTATTGGAAAAGAAAACTCGTTACAAAGCTTAGAGGAAGTGTGAATCCTCGATCGATGTTGTTGTGAGAATGTATTATGTTATTTAACTTTTTTAATTTGTGAGAACTTATATATATACACACACACACACACACATATGTGTCTGTATATATATGTCAGATTTGTGTATTTAACCACCATATCTTCACACCATTGCCTTTCTCTATTCACGATTATTGAGAAGGCTTTTATTTTTTCCTACAGTTTACACGAAAAATTATAGAGGAGGTTTATTCTCTGAGTCTTACCTTTTAAGAAGTCTAACATGGCCAAATCATGTCACGGTTCTATAACTATTTCAGGAATAAGATTCAATTGCTCTATCACTACTATTTAGAATTTTAGTTGTCCTTGTTCTGCTTTGAAAAATCCTCTTATTACATGTTAACTTGGTTGTGTTGCTATTATACTACTTTACTCTTGGTATCTTACAAAATTAAATATGCTTTTTAAATCTGATTTAGTATTGAAATTATTTATTTATTTATTATTATTATTACCTCAAATTGTTTCTTATATGTTTAGTCACCTAAAAGAGTTAACATGTACTTTGCTTTTTCCATGTCTTGGTCAACAAACAATACTTCTTCTTCAAACAAAGAAAAAAGCAAGGCCCAAGGTCCAAGTCTTCTGGCAAATACTCGGCAGAAATGAGCCAACCTCCCTTGAGAAATATTTTATTGCTCTTATTATATCAGTGGCATTGTAATATTAATTTATTAAATATTAACATATAGGGATAAGATCCACTAAAATAGAGTATTTTTATATACATATATGACAAGGTATAATTGGTTGACTACACCAGTATTACCAATATAGAGAAGTTTTCCATTCGTTCTTCCATCAAGTTTTCAATTAAAGATTTGACCTGAAAGTACTTCCCAATGAATGAATTGAGATGATTTTTTTTTAAAAAATTTGTAAGAAATAAAATAATTTTTTTAATAAAATTTTCAATATAACTATCAAAAAAGAAATGTCTTGAATGAATTCTAATGATAGTATTACTCATTCCAATATAAGAATAAATAGTGAGAGTTTGAGAATCTAGCAAATTAAGTAGATGTGTGAGTAATGTGTGTAAATTTCTTGCCATTAAATATATATAAAAGAACGAATGTGAGGAAGAGGAAGGTGATAGACTAGTGAAGGTGCTATAAGAATGAATTTTATTATTATTGTTATTATTATTAATTTATAGTCTACAAAATTTATTTATAATAAGATCACAAATGAAATTATGTTGAATAGAGTCAAAGACGTCAAATTCACAGTAAGTAAATGTTAGGGCACGGCAAGGCCACAAGGAGTTGGAATTCTACGAAGAATAGACCACAAGAACGAGACGAGCACTGAGTCTTCAAATACGTTCTAACATATTTATGCCGTAATTGATACTTTAATTTTTTATAACATGTGATTATATACTTTCAATTTGTTGAATATTTATAGCAAGTTTAATATTAGGTAGTTTTTTTTTTAGTTTCCTTATGTTATAAATTTTCTTAACTTCTTAGGTTTCCTAATGACTAAATTTTTATTTATTATAAATACGTGTAAGGTGCGCTAAACATAACATTAATGCCATTCAGTGTTTTATTAGGATTTGATTTCGCTGTCACAAGATTCAAATCCCAAGAAAGTTTGATTGAATGGCTTCCACCGCTGCTGCTGAAATCATCGGCGCCAACAAGGACCTGGCTGTGGAGATCCTACCGCATCTGCCGGCGAAATCCCTCATTCGGTTCAAGTCAGTCTCCAAAGCATGGCTCTCTCTCATCTCCACTCCTTACTTCTCTCTCCTCTGGCAATCCCATCATCATCCCAAAGTCTCCGGCCTTTTCCTCAACCCTAGATCCCAAGCTGAAACCATCCAATACGTTCCTCTCACTCACTCCGACGACTTGAGGAATCAATGTGATATTGCAACGTTATTAATGGTGGAGAAGAAAACAATTAACCATTCAATACGTTCCTCTCAATTAGTGACGGAGCCAGGATTTCAAGTGAGAGGGGGGCACTGCCAACAAAAAATAATAATAATACCGAGTATATATATATATATATATATAACAACTATAAAATTTAAAAAGATAAAGAAGAAGAAAATTATTAAAATATAAAAGGAAAATAAAAATGAAAAAACTTTAATAGGAAATAGTTAAAAAGTTCCAATTGAGGAAGAAAATTTTGACTTTTTCTATGAAGAGTAAAAGAGAAAATAAAGAAAAAATAAGAATATAATTTTAAGAATTACAAATTTGAGGGGGGGCACTATATAAATTTTGTCATATATATGGAAATTTTTTTAAAAATTACCACGGGGCACACGTTTATAATCCTACTACCAACCAATTCTCTACTCTTACGTGGCTTTTTCCGGTAACTTTCACTGGCCTTGGTGACATTAATCCATATTTGGTTTTCGATCCTTTAAAATCACTTCACTACAAAGTTGTTTTGGTTCAGGCTAAGCATGGTAATCCCAACTTGATTCAAATACATATTTATTCGTCGGAAACCAATGACTGGCGGAGATCACCACTGGATGATCATATTGGTGATTTTCATCCTACCCCGAAATCATTGAATGAAGGAGTCTATTGCAATGGTTCCATCCATTGGCTTTCTTACCCCAAAGAAAAAACTTCCTCATACTTCGATGTCAATCAAGAAAGATTTTGCCCAATGCCTACTCCACCATCTGCAGGTTTTGAATTCTTGCATCATTTCGGAGAGTCCGGAGGTCATTTGCATGTTATTAACTATTATATGGGATTCAATGTCAACGTCTGGGAGATGGAAAGTGATTATTCCAAGTGGACAACCAAGTATCAAGTTTGCCTTAACATGACGACGATGGTTGTTGATCTTGCATTAGTTATGCGCGAGGATACAACGCTTAGTTTAATCCACAATGAAGATGAAGGGGATGTGTCTTTGGTACTTGTTGCACGCATCGAGATGAATTATATGATCATCTCCTACAACATTAAGGAGAACACCTTTAAGAAGTGGGTTGTACCTGTTACGTCTTTGACCCTTTTATCCATCGTTATATTGAGACACTCTTTCCTGTTTGATTGATCCTGGTGGTACATTATAATCGGTTAAGGTTGAATGGTTTATATTTTAGTGTTCTAATTATAGCTTCAACTCCAATTGTAAATCTATTTACTTTATATTATATTTATTAATACTATTTTAATTGTTTTATGTCCATCAGTTTTATTATATTAATATTATTTTGTTTGATGGTATTCATTGATCACTTGGGCGGTTGGGCGGTGACTAGTTCTCAGGTGTCTACTTCTTGTGTTGCTATCATACTTACTTTACTCTTGGTATTTTACTTAAGTATATTTTGAAATTATTTTTTTATTTTTATTTTTATTTTAACACTGCATTGTGCCATTGTGAATTGACTAATCCTCTCTAAAGTACTGCTATCTGTTGGTTGGTGTTCAATTTCAATTGACATATGTTCTTACAATGTAAATAAGATTAACAAAAATAAGAAAATTTTCTTTCAAAATCAGATACAGCAAAAGATAAGAGTTCGTTACCCCCACATCTCCAGAGCCCTTTAATTTTAATTACGGCAAAAATAAAAAATAAAAATAAAAATGTCCAAGGTCCAAGTATTCGCCAGAGACTTGGCAGAGATGAGGCAGCCATATTTTATTGCTCTTGTATTAGTGGCATAGTATTATTAATTTATTAAATATTAATCAATATTATCAATACAGATAAGTTTTTCTTGGATCAAGTTTCTCAGTGAGATGGTTTTTTTTGAAATTTGTAAGAAATAAAATATTTTTTTTAATAAATTTTCAATATAACTGTCAATAAAGAAAGGTCATGAATGAATTACCGATAGTATTACTCATTCCAATATAAAGAATGAATGGCGAAGATTTGAGTATCGAGCAAATGGATGTATAAGTGATGTGTGTAAATTTCTTGACAATAAATATATATATAACATGTGATTATATACTTTCAATTTGTTGAATACTTATACAATTTGAGTTTTCTTAATTTAAAAAGATGTACTTCATTCTCAAAAATAGCAATGTTGTTTATTATTTGAAAAGCATATGAATGAATTTTCTTATATTTTGAAAAGCATATGAATGAATATTCATTGATCACTTGGGCGGTAACTATTTTCTTTTTCTTTTTTTCTTTTTTTCTTTTTTTTTTTCTTTCATATTTCTCTCATCTTTGAAATCAAGAGTTATTTTTATAATATATATATATATATATATATATATATGAAAAAGATTCAATTGAGATGAGTTTTAAATTTTTGGGTTTGTATTCTTTAAACTGAAAATTTATTCAAGAAAACAATTTTTGTTGTGGAAATTCAAGGGTGGTTTTTGATGGATGACCAGGAAGAGTAGTTTCGATCAATTTTTGTAAATCCGAAGAAATTAAAGAAGACGCCTTTCAAAATCAATATGAGTTCTTTGTGCAAATTCATGATGATAAACTTTATTAAACTTCAGTTTTCTATCGCTACTGTCCTTTAGTTATATATTCCCAATATTTTTATTTTTTTTTATTATTATTATTTATCCACGATTGTTTCGTCAAGAATTTTTTTGACCACCCCTCCCATGCAAAAATTAGATTGTTTCAAAAAAAAAAAAATGCTAATTGGGCTGAAAATTACCAAATCAAGACCACCAGCCCAAAAGATCAAACCCATGTGTAGATTTTTAATAATGAACCCATTTTTTATTCCTATACCATGTACCCCATTTGGGTTTTGCTATTAGAATAATCCTTTTTATTCTTAAATATATTTTCAGTTCACTTGCTTTGTTTGTCCAAGTTCTCTCACAATCTATGTACTTGCGAGAAACAAGCGTGGGATCAAAGGCTATATAAGCCTATAACACAGTGGCATTTTTTTACATTTCAAAGTAGAAGTTTCAGGTTTAAAAAAAAAAATTTCGTTTTCAAAGTAGAAGTTCCAGGTTAAAAAAAAAAAATTTCGTTGTGAATGTTGGATCATCTATGGGTAACAAAGGAAAAGTTTTGAGGTTAAAAACAAGCGTGGGATCAAAGGCTTTAAGCCTATAACATACTGGTATTTGTTTACATTTCAAAGTAGAAGTTCGAGGTTAAAAAAAAAAAATTCGTTGTGAATGTTGGATCGTCCATAGGTAACAAAGGAAAACATAATGCTCAATTTCCGTCCTTTCACTCCTCTCCCATACTGATTATAATAAATAAAATGCTTCAAGATTATTAGATGGTGGGTAGGAAAAGATACGTAGTAACTGAAAAAAAATAAGCCCATGGTTTCAGTCACAGCAAATGACTTGCTCAGTTAATTTCATTTGGCAATTGTTGGCCACTTGAGATAGTGGATTGTAAGAGGACCCCCCATTGCTCAAAGCATTCACTGCACTATTTTTTAGTTCCTTCACTTTACCTCTTTTACAGTTCATTCCATTTTCCTCTATAATCAACCTCGCCATCTTCTCTATCTCCTCCCTCATCACCACTCCCTTGGATGGCGACACTTTTGGCCTGTAAGCCACCCCGACCTCCTTCGTCAAAAAAGCAGCATTCATATTCTGCTCTGCAAATAGTAGCAATGTTATCAGTGGCACTCCATTGATAATGCTCTCTAGAGCTGAATTCCACCTACAATGTGATAAAAATCCTCTTATTGATGGGTGGGCCAAGATCTCAGCCTGTTAGGCCCACATTGGGACCACTAGGCCCACATCCTTAGTCCGGGACAAAAACCCATCAGGCAAGAAATCTAAAGACCCATCACAGCCGTTGGCTGCCGCGGTAAAATAATCAAGTGCACTGTGGCCCGTGGGTGGACGTACCACCCAAACAAATCTTTGGCGGCTCAACTCCAACCCCCCAGCTCGGTCATTTGCTGGCTTGACAAAGTCCCACACTCGCAAAGGAGACATAGAGAACTGATTCCCTACGTTGCATGTCTAGCCAATTCAATACACTGCTCCTCGAATCGGACGGTTGAACTAGTCTGATCAGTTGCCCAACCGGGTAAACCGGCACCTCTTTAACAGTCTCTCTCAAATTTCTGAGGGCCCCAATTGTTGTGCTCTCCAAATCCTGTCACGTGTTCACTAAAACTCCATCATCGGTCAACATCTGAGACCCAATACGCACTAATCATCAAACATCTGACTTTGTAAAAAAAAAAAAAAAAAAAAAAAGAAAAAGAAAAAAGAAAAAAAAAAGAAAAAGGATTATTACATATAAATGGACTTAGTGGTCCAAATTTACCCATACATTGAGTAAAAGTCAAGTATTTCTCTGTTTGACCCAAAAGTTGAGGTGGCACATGAAAAAAAACTGTTCCTAATGCCTCTTTCACATTCCATTCGTGCAACCCTCTCTCCCCCTTCTTTGTAAATAGCGATGAACAAACCCTTAACCATATGATGACTTTCGTGCGACGAAGAACACGATGAACAGCGAGCGGCGATCAGCGACAGGCTATTAGTGAGCAGCGACCAGAGGGGAGCGACGAAGGCCGGCGACCAGTCACTATTGTTCAGTTCTACCAGGACGAAGGTACCTTTCATTCTTGAATTCTTTCTGTTCATCTTGTTCCTTTTGTTGCTTAACAAAATCATGGGGTTGTCATCCTTAGCAGGATTTTTGCTGATTTGGGTTCTAACTATTTTTTATTTTTTGATTTATGTGAAAAGAAAAGAATTTTTTTACTAGAAGGTGTTTAAAGTTCACACCCAATTTTTCTTGCCTTTTAGTTTCTACCCGATTCATCACCAACTGTTTGGCACTATGGTCAAGCACTATCAATTCTGGCGTCTCGTCACCAATTTTCTCTACTTCCGGAAAATGGGTATAATTTGTTTAGCTTTGATTTTTTAAGTGATTATGACTTATGTTGGAGTCTATGAAATGGTTTTCTGTAAATGGGTTCCCCAATCTTTGATCTGAGTACCAGGCTTGTATTTTGTTCATTAGAAGGGTTCAAGATTAGCATTAGCATATTTTTTGTGTTTTAATATTATTTGTTCTAAGGAACCCGTAAGGGAGAAATGGTTGGTTGCGAGTCGGGACATGTCAAAATGCATAATTGATTTCTTATTTAAATGTACAACAATTACCAAGCCTTTTTCCCAACTACTTGCGCAAATGTGGGAAAATATATTCAATTGATTAATTGAAGTAGTCCTAAGTATTAGGGCAGTAGTATTCCTTCATTGTTATGTGTACAAAGAAGCTTTCTAGAGTTGACTTCATCTCCACCACCCTTTATTCTTTTGAACACATACACACACATATACTTTGACAACAATAAGTTGTGTTGCCAACCTAATTGGTTACTACTTTTAAATGAATCCTGAGGCCCAAAATGAAGCTGTCAGTTACTTCTCATATTTTCTGTAGATTTTCATGGAATTCAGGTAGTGCCTTTAATCAAATAGGGTGGAATTGGTTGCTTTGGATTTGTGTACATTGATCTTTTGTGGTACTCTAAGAATTGCTCTTGCTTATCTTCAGAGTCTCGGTTAAGTTCTAATCCTTTACCTTGGTGTTTTGGACCTTTGTGGATTTGCAACTCCTACCAGGGAAACTTTAAAACACAACAAAGAATGGATATTTAATGAAGGTCAAATGTACTTATCAAAAAAAAAAAAAAAAAAGGTCAAATGCAAATATTTCTTGGCATGCCTTCTTGTATTGAATGCCCTCCTCTTAAAAGGAAAAAAGGTGACACGGGTATATTAATCCGAAATGAATTTCCAAAATTGATTGTTTTATGTCTTTATGTAATTTTGTTTTGCAATTATTAAATTCAACCAAAATGAATTTCCAAAATTGATGTTTTATGTCTTTGTGGGATTTTTTGTTTTCCAATTTTTAAAGTTCTCTTGCCAAGATAATTATACATTTGACTTTATTCATGGTGAAAATGAGGTTATGTCTCTAAAATATTTCTTTGTAGATTCATCTTTAGAATATGGAATCTCATTTATCTTACCACTTCATTTTTCATGTAACTTGTAATATTTGAGTGGACTGGTGACAACAATTTGCAAGCTTAAAATATTTTTCAATCTTTTCACTGTACTTGATCAAGGAGATGTGATTGCTTCTCTAATCTAGTAACACTTTTTTCCTTTGAAGTTTGTTGTAAAGATTCAATAATTTTTATGCGTTCTTAATTTGGCATTTAGTTTATCAAGGTCATCGAAATTTGTAGCCTCTCCTAGATTGAATAATCATGACATTTGTATACATTAAATCATTAGAGTTAATAAAAATGAATGGTTCCTATAGCACCGCTTTTGGATTTGTTCGATTACTTTTCTGTTTCTGTTGAGGAACTCATAATACATTTGTTATAATTGTCCCAAGTTAGTCGGGTTTTTGCCCTGCCTTCAAATAAACTATCAAAGTCAACTGAACTAAATTAAGCTTTATATCCTAGCTTCTTGATTTCGACTACACAGATCCATTCTCAAAATCCAACTATATCTTGATCCAAAGTTTCTGTTAACTACACATACTATTATGTCTTCTGATTGTTTCACTTTTGACCATCCTCGATTAATGCTACCTTTTGCCTTCTAATGAATGCATTTGTTTTCTTATACTATATTTCCAAATGTTACTACTCACAGCTCTTTCCACCTCAACCTTTTTTATATACTATATTTTCACATGTTACCACTAACAGCTCTTCAACATCAACGTTCACATTCCGTTGTGCTTTTTCCAATGCGCTTCTTAACTTCCCTAGACTTATTTTTTTCATCCATATTCCTTGCCTTTCCTCTCCTTTATTATACAAAGTCTTATGTTTGTAGATGCGTTTGGATAATTATCATCTTATCCCAGGGAAAAAAAATATTTGATCCAAATCACTGCGTTATACATAAGAATGCATGTACACGCAAGTCTTTATTTTGCATCATTTATTTACACGTGTTTTATATAAATTTGAAACTGGAATTTGTGCCCTTTAGTGATCATAACTCTAAATGATTTTTATCATCAGATATAATGTTTTTTGATATCAAGGCTCATGTTTACCATGACTTGATTTGATTCATTGTCTACTTGATTTACTTAATTGCATGTCTACGCACACCACAATAGATTTTCCTATTTTGTTGACACTTCAGACTTGCTTCCTCTTTATGCTAAAAACGATCATATATCATCACTAAAAGTTGAAAATATAAGGTAAAGTGAAAAAACGATCATATATACTCACAGCTCTTTCCACCTCAACCTTTTTTATATAAGAGAATATGTTTGGTTAAGAATATAAAGCTTGTTTAAAACTTATATAACATGAATCTATGGCATACACTAAAATAGATATGATGATTTGGAAGGAGTACCCAATCTCAGACTATGAAGGTTAATTTATTTTCCTTATTAAGTCCTCAATTTGTCTTGTCTGATATCTATATCCCCTTAGCTGTCACTGTTTTCCTAAATTACTGAGCCTCAATTTTTTTTTTTTTCTCTGTTGTCTAGATATTGTCAAATCATCACATGGCTAAAATTCATGTGATGTCTGTGAATTGGGCTTTATATTAGAAAACATATGATGACATAAAGAGATATGTGAGGTGTTGTCAAATCATCACATGGCTAAAGTTAGCAATAGTGGTGCTAGGTGCATAAACACGTGAACTATTATGAAAGACACCCCTATCATGCCAAAGAGAGAGATGTGTAAGTCCCTTTTGTCAAATCATGACAGGGTACAATTCATTCACATGTCTGTGAATTGGGCTCTATAAATAGACTGGGCTCTATAAATAGACATTTGACATATGCACAAAACCATAACATTAGCACTAGTAAGTCTCAGTTGTTGATGTATGGAGCGAAACTATATAGAGCAAAAGTACTTGTCAAGAGATGCGTGGATTGAAAGTAGTTATACATTCTCAATCGTTCTCAAAACTATTCCATTTTTAACTCCTTACATTGATGGTTCATTTTTTTTATGTAATGACGACTGGCATGTAATCGTCATCTCCTCCATCGAGATTTGGTGTGTAATTATTTTTCAATGTGTTCAAGTGTGTATTTATTTTTCCTTCAATAAAATAAGTGATTGTGTTTCTACAAATGTGCCCTATATAAAGTTGAGAAAATGAGAATTCCCTCATAGAAATATAAATGGTTTGTGTTGTGCTTGTCAATGTAATAATATTTAACAAGATTGAAATATCGCAGTGGCCAACGTGCCTTAAGTGACCATATGATCTTATATATTTTAATTAGTTGATCCTTGCAATAGTTTACCTTTTCTTGGTTTTGTTTATTTCTGTATGTTGTTTTGTTCGTGCTTTTTGGTAGTAGTTTCTTCGCTACATTTTGTTTGTCAATGATGATGACTTCCATTTGATTCATAAATGACAATCTTGCTCTTTCCTTTTTGTGATTAGCATACTGAATTTCAGACTTGTGTGATGCAGCTACTTGGATTTTGTACCATGGACAATGAGGTGGTTTTTTGATAAGTGCAGACAGTAAGTCTCAAGTGCTTGAAGGTTTATAAATTTTTCAACAGCAGTGCTAGGAAATTAATGATATTCTTGACAAATGGATTTAGTTCCTATTTTGGAACATTGATGAATGGTGAATTGTTTTGGAACATTGATAAATGATGAATTTTGTAATTGTAGAATGAATTTTTTGTATAGTGATAGGCAGACACTATTCATGCACAACTTGAAAGATGCATAAAAACATTAACGCCACTATTATGAAAGATGCCAAAGAGAGATGTGTAAGACCTGTCAATTCATCACATGGTTAAAGGTGCATAGAAACATTAATGCCACTATTATGAAAGATGCGAAAGAGAGATGTGTAAGACCCTTTTGTCAAATCATCACATTGGAAAAATTGACTTGTCGGTGAATTGGGCTCTATTTTAGGAGACATATGAAGACACAAATGTTAAAGATAGAACTGTAATATAGAGAGATATGTGAGGTGTTGTCAAATCTATCACTCGGAAAATCGTGTGTTTGTGCCTTACACTCATCCCGGTTTGTGTATATTCCAACATTTCGGCCAATGAAAACAACATAGTATCTTCGTCCTCCCATCAGCTATCTACAAAAAATTAACATTATCAGAATAAAGACATTACATAATTGTTATTTTTTTCACATAGATTTCTAGGTGCACTTATAAATAAATACATTACACAATCAAAATGCAGAAATCTATTTGAAAAAAAATAAAATTATAATAACTTTAATTAAATAGAATCAAAATAAAGAAAATTGGATAATCAAAGTGCACTTAGAAATCTATTTGGAAAATAGATTTTTGAATAGCTTTGATCAAATATGAGAAAAATAAATATACTACATAATCAAAGTGCACTTAGAAATCTATTTAAAAAAGAAATTAACATTATAATAGTTTTGTTAAAATAAAAACATTAGATAAGTAAATTACACTTACAAATAAGGATGCCAATACTCTGCCTCATGACAACAATTAGATATTTATAACAACTTTCAAACACTAAGGCTTTTTCTTGATGATATGACCATACCTCTTTATCTGCCATGGTGTAAGTAAGGCTGTTTTACAAAATTTGGCTTTTTCTTCAATAACATGGCTAGTCACAGAATATGACTCTCTATAAAAAAATCAGCTCTAGTCCATACACAAAACCATCCCACTTCCTCATCTTATCTCTATAGACAAAATTATATGGTCAATACACAAACCAAATCCTATGTTGAAGTAGCATTCATTGGTTCTCTCTTGTTGATGTATGGAGCGAAATTATTTGGCTTCCATTCATTATAGCATTATAAGCTATTCCATTTTTAACTCCTCATATTTGAAGCTATTCCATTTTTAACTCCTCACGACACTTTGTGAGGCCATGAGACCCCTCCGACGTAAAGGATTTTGCTGCTTGCCATTGTCTTCAACCAACAAATGTTCTTCTTCATATATAATAAAATACTAGGAAATCTCCTCACTATATATAATAAAATACTAGGAAATTTCCGAACTCTAGTGAATTGTCTTCGATAAATTCATGCCAACCCTTTTCAAAATATTTTGTGTTATTAACCTCTCTCACTTCAACCCGCCACGATTTGCCTGCATAACTCCTAATTACAGACTTGGAAGGTAAAACTCCATAAAAATGCTTAAGGAATGCTGGTGGAATTTGCAGCCGTTGAGAGCTCTGTTCCAGGAGAAAAACTTTGAAGAACTAAGGGCACTTATCAGAACTTTTTGCAAGGTACTATTCCATTATGGAACTGGCTTAAAAGCAGCTTCTTTGCCTATCAAGTAGAGAATAATTGTGTTTAGGATATATTGTAGAATTAAAAAGTAAATAAATAAATAACAAAGAAACAATGTTCCAAGTGATGTCGGAGTATATTTTGTACTATTTATTTCCTCAAGTTAGCTAGATTGGAATAAAGTTTGTACTCTTTATGGTACTAATGGATTTACTTATGGATGTAATGTGCAACCTAATTAGCGGTGTGGGGTGTAATACTATTTTCAATTGCAAAATAAGTCTTTTTTGCGAAGGTACCACTTTTTCTCAAAAGGTACTACGTTTTGAACTGAAGCTACTACTTTTTCGCGTCCAGGTACCATGTTTTCTAAACACTTGCTTAGCTAGCTTGGAGAATATTTTGTGTTATTCATGACCCGAACGGAGCTATTTATTGATCTAATGTTCAAATTAATTAGCGGTGTGGGGGTGTAATACCATTTTCAATTGCAAAAATAAGTCCCTTTTGCGAAGGTACCACTTTTTCTCCAAAGGTACTACGTTTTTGAACTGAAGGTACTACTTTTTGGCGTTCAGGTACCATGTTTTCTAAACACCCACTTAGCTAGCTTGGAGAATATTTTGTATTATTCATGACCCAAACGGAGCTGTTTATTGATCTAATGTTCAACTTAATTAGCAGTGTGGGGTGTAATACCATTTTTAATTTCAAAAATAAGTCCATTTTGCGAAGGTACCACTTTTTCTCCAAAGGTACTACGTTTTTGAACTGAAGGTACTACTTTTTGGCGTCCAGGTACCATGTTTTCTAAACATATGCTAGCTTAGAGAATATTTTGTGTTATTCATGACCCGAACGAAGCTATTTATTTATTTAATGTTCAACTTAATTAGCGGTGTGGGGTGTAATACCATTTTCAATTACAAAAATAAGTCTTTTTTGTGAAGGTGCCACTTTTTCTCGAAAGGTACTACGTTTTTGAACTAAAGGTACTACTTTTTGGCGTCAAGATACCATGTTTTCTAAACACTCGCTTAGCTAGCTTGGAGAATATTTTGTGTTATTCATGGCTCGAACGGAGCTGTTTATTGATCTAATGTGCAACTTAATTAGTGGTGTGGGGTGTAATACCATTTTCAATTGCAAAAATAAGTTCCTTTTGCGAATGTATCACTTTTTCTCCAAAGGTACTACGTTTTTGAACTGAAGGTACTACTTTTCGGCGTCCAGGTACCATGTTTTCTAAACACTAGCTTAGCTAGCTTGAAGAATATTTTATGTTATTCATGGCCCGAACGGAGCTGTTTATTGATCTAATGTGCAACTTAATTAGCGGTGTGGGGTGTAATACTATTTTCAATTGCAAAAATAAGTCCATTTTGCGAAGGTACCACTTTTTGTCCAAAGGTACTACATTTTTGAACTGAAGGTACTACTTTTTGGCGTCCAGGTACCATGTTTTCTGAACACTCGCTTAGGTATCTTGGAGAATATTTTGTGTTTTTCATGGCTTCCAAAGGAGCTGTTTTTGATGTAATGTGCAACTTAATCACATTACACATATATAATCGGGTTAATTCCACCCCTACCCCTTCTAGGTTTCAATATTCCACGCACACCCCCTAACCTTTGACCATACGTATCAACTTAACCCATGCTGTTAAGTAACAAACGTTTAGTGCTAATGTTAGGATGGATAAATGGGAAGAAGGTCAATTTTGCCCTTTACAATGGCTAAAATGACATTTTTAACTTTATTGACCATTGCAGAGTTACAAAATTACCCTTATGAAGTGTTTATTGAGAGAGTGTGGTATCTCTTTGACAACTATTGAGATTAAATTATCCATCTATTCGACACCATGGAACCAAGGAAACAACAGGCCAATTTTCCATTCATTCAACAGCTTCAATTTTGGAATGAAATTTTTTTTATAGTACATTCATGTAATAGACAAAGGAAATTCAGTGAAGCCCTAGTATAATAAGCCATACAATACTAATTTATGAAAACCCAAAAGAGCAACTTCATTTGATTCCATCTAAGGTAGATGCCAGTATAATAAGCCATACAATGGTTGCAAAAACATACCAACCTAATCCACAATCAAAAGTTGTAAAGGTACTCTTTTTTAAAACTTAAAAAAATAGCTAACACCAACAAATTACAAAATACCAGCAAAAAAAATGAAACTGTTCAACATTACAAATGTCCCATATCCCACATCATTTCAAGTACTTTTTGGATTATGAGATCCTCTTATCCCACTTCATTTCAAATACAGGTATGTATTTCCTTGTTCAGTGGTAAACCAATTTATGGCCCTTTTCCTTTGTGTGGTCCTAGTGAGAGTCCTCTTGTTTGTGTATTTGATGGACATGCATTCTTTCTGTCTTTGTGTGTAATTGGAACAAAAGAACCACTTTGTCTCTGTGACTATCACATGCAATAAAAATTAAGATATTAAAGCGTTGTATAATAATAATAAGGAACAAAAGCAATATAAAAACAGATAATTCGAAACTTTTAATAATAATAATTTTAAAAAGGATCATCAAAATTAAAAAATAATTTATAATTTGCCCAACACCTTGCAGGTGACCTCATTATCCAACTTAACAGTACTGCTATATAAAACATTTTGAACAATTACATAATAATTTTGAGTTTACTTAAGAGGTTGAATATTTCCACTGGAGCTCTTGAAAAATGCAATTTATTACTACATCAGATATAAAAGACAACACTATCATGTAAGACCAAAAAAAAAAAAAAAAATTGCCTAATTAATACAACTATGAAAGAATGTACATTGAGCTATAGTACTAACAACTAAGTTATACTAAGAAATTGTTTTACAGCAAAAATTATATCAGAAGTCAAGGAAATTACATCTTATAAGCCTTGATGGATTAAGATGGAGATAGTGAGGTTCCTTGAGGTGAATGGTAGCTTATTGGCTGATGGAGGTGATGTTAGAATCATCAAAATAATAAATAATTAATTTTCTTGAGTGTACATGAGTCCAGTTAACTAATGGGAGATATTCTGATGACGTTTTCTTAAGTCTCCGTTCAAGTTTCAAGCTTAAATAATTTATCTTATCATGAATTTATAAATAAGGTCATATCAAATCCAACTTCTAAATATTAATTTTTTTGTCTTTCTTAAAGGGCAATAAGAAAATTGAAGACCCAATCAGGGTCATCTCTCCTTTCTGCATTTCGATCAGCAAAAGGAGAAAAGGTTCTAGAAGTGGAAGGTTCTTCAACATGTGGGAATTTCTACGTGGCCTGGTATATTTTTGTGATAGTTCAACTCTTTAGTATTCAAATTGCTACTTCATATATATATATATATATATATATATATATATATATATATATATATATATAATTTGATGAAAAAAAGGGGTCAGGTGACATGGTGAAAGCTTAGACTGCCCACTGTAAGGAGACTCTTTTAAGTATGAAACCAGCCATTTCGTAGGCTGTAAACAAGCTGATTTGTGAAATAAAAGAATGTTAAAAAATAAAGTGAAAGAAAATATTCTCCACCCGAAAGAAGTCAAGGCCCAGTGATTTTAATAGTGATTTGTTAATGTCAAGCACTTATCCAGCAATTTAATTGCATTCAAGGTAGTGTGAGCATTGGTAAAAGATTGATTTAGTAAAGATGATCCATGCATCAGAAAGTGCCCAAAAGAAATTATGGAGAGATAAAGATTGGTGCTATATGCTATTTCTAAGGTTCTTCTGTAAAATGCTTAGAAGAAAAGTTAAGAAAAGAGTGAAAAGTGCTGCTAGTGCTAAATGCTAGTAATATGAATCTTCTCACAAATATTTAGCCTTTGGAATGTGGTGGTTGGGAGAATGATTGCATTAGTCTAGTAAATTTTTTAGCTAAGACTAAGACTAAGACTATCCATGTAACTCAACTTTTACCATATGCGGTGGTTGGGAGAATGGTTGCATTATAATCTAGTAATTTTTTTAGCCAAGAGTATCCATGTAACTCAATTTTTACCATATAGTTTTTATAGGGTGGCAAAAGATCATATTTTGCTTGCAGATGTGGACATGTGATCATTTGCCGAATCATGCTTATATAACTCTTGTTAATGGAAGTAGTAGAGGTAACAGAAAAGTCAACTTTAGAGAGAGAGGGAGAGTGACTTAAAGGATAAGACTTTATTTCTTTTGTAAATGTGAAATTGTATTATTTTGTTTTGTTTTTTTTTGTTTTTGTTTTTGTTTTTTTTTTCTTCCATTACCTGGCTTTCTATAATAGGTTGAGGCAAAGAAGGCTGTTCCAACAACACATTCTGAACAGAAATAATGGAATCATTCAGGGGTCCCCACCCCAGGCCCTATTCAAACAAAAAAGATATTTGTAAGAGGTTTAGCATCCACAGTCATAGAGAATGACTTTAAGATGTACTTCGATCAATTTGGGACAATCACAGATGTAGTGGTGATGTATGACCACAACACTCAGAGACCTAAAGGGTTTAGATTTATCACTTATGATTCAAAGGATGCAGTTGACAAAGCGTTGCTCAAAACCTTTCATAAACTCAATGGTAAAATGGTTGAGGTCAATTGGGCTGTTCCCAAGGAGTTATCTCCAGGACCAAGTCAGAGCCAGTTAGGTGGATATAACTATGGTAAAATGCCAAGTATCAATTTGGATCACCAGAACTAATTTCACTTTTAAAATAAAATTTATTTTGCCTAACCAAAAAAATGTATTCCAGAACAAGATAACCATAAACACATAATCAACTAAAAATGCCAAGTATCAATTCGGATCACCAGAACCAATTTCACTTTTAAAATAAAATTTATTTTGCCTAACCAAAAAAATGTATTCCAGAACAAGATAACCATAAACACATAATCAACTAAAACACAAATTATCGGGGGAGATCCACCCAAAACGGGTGTGAGACAGAGACAGAGAGTACTTACCAAATTAGTAGAGTAAAGTTCATGAAGCACATGGACCACCAAGAAGAAGAACAGTGAGACAGATTAGCGCAATTCACAAAACCCTAATTTGGGTATGACCCGCCCACCTAAGAAAACCCTAATTTTAGAAAACCCAATAGTCTACAATAGGAAAAAAACACAAATTCAAGAACCATTACAACAAAAAAGCTTAAGAAACACCGAATCATCATAACTCAATCCAAAATTACAGCCGAAAAAAGAAAAAAAGAAAAAGAAAAATTCAACTGAAATAATGAAAATGCACTGAGAAATGTATGGTTTGAAGCTCACCGAGAACCCTTGATCCCTCTTCTGAGCCCATTGTTGTTGCACTGAAAATTGAGCTAGGTTTCTCAATTCCTAGAGCGATGAAGCTAAAGAGAGAGAGGGTGGAGGGACTGGCTTAGAAAGAGTTGTGGAGAAAGAGAGAGAGAGCAGCGATGAGAGAGATAGCAAAGAATGAGAGAGAGAGCAGCGAATGAGAGAATTATGAGGTTAGGGCCAAAGGTAAAATGTATTTACAGAGGCGGGGAGAGAGAGGGCTGCACTGAACGAATTAAGTCAATATATTAAAATATGGAGAAAGGGCATTTTAGGCAACACAGAAAAAAGGAGGAAGGGCATTTTAGGTAACATATTTTTTAAACAATAAAAATCCATGTGCCACCTCAGCTTTTGGGTCAAACACATTTTAGAGAAACTATGGGACTTTAACTCAGCCTCTTAGTAAATATAGAGCCCTAACCCCATTTATATGTAATAATCTCAAAAAAAAAAATCAAACACTTGACCGGTCCGGTCCAGGACCTCTACAAGAAGGTCATCGAACCGGACTGGCTTGCTACCAGGAATTCTCAACAGTTCATTTTCATTACAGTGTCATGGCCATAAACCATGCAGAGGTGGGCAGGTAGACATACTTCGACATTCCGAACTCGTCGGCGATGGCTAGAGACTCCGTGCTGAAGAAGTTGACGACAAGGACGGTTGGAGGGGAGTCCATGGAGTTGATTGCGGACCGGAGGTTGAGTATTGAGTGGCTCATCATGGCTATGAGTCGGGTGAAAATGGTGGCGTCGGGGTCCACCGAGCCGGAGATTTCTACCGGTGGGAGCGTGACGACGTCGAAGGGATTGGAAGTGAGATATTTGGATTGTGTTGGTGATGTTTGGGTTGAGATGGTGAAGACAGTGACATCAAAGTTGTGGTGAGTGAAGAGGCGATTGGAAAGCTCGAGGACGGTGATGAGGTGGCCGAGGCCGAGGGTGGCGAGTAGGGCTGCGTGAGGCTTTGTGGTTGCCATGGCTGACGAATGGAACTTTCAGATATATAAATATAGAGAGAGAGGAGGAGGAGGAGAGAGAGAGAGTGTGGAAACAATGAAATGCAAGCTATAGATTTACTACTTAGGGTGTTATTGCATGCATGAGTCCATGACTGGTTGTGGAATATATAAGCATTCATGTTCGGTTGTAAAAATTCCTTTCAAATTTGTCTTGAAACCAATAGAAGTTTTATGACGCCAAGAAAGTCCTATTTCACATTTAAAAAAGACCAAAAGAAAGAACAAAGAAGCGAGTTAACATGTACTTTGCTTATTCCACGTCTAGGTCAACAAACAATTCTTTTGTCATCTATATCTTCAACTTCTTCTTCAAACAAAGAAAAAATGCAAGTCCAAGGTCCAAGTCTTCTGGCAAAGACTAGGCAGAGATGAGCCAACCTCTCTCGAGAAATATTTTATTGCGATTATTGCATTAGTGGCATAGTATTATTAATTTATTAAATATTAATGTATAGGGATAAGATTCACTAAAATACAGTACTTTAATTTACTTATATGACGAAGTATAAATGGTTGACTATATCAGTATTATCAATACGGAGAAGTTTTTTTCGTTCTTCGATCAAGTTTTCAATTAAAAATTTGACCTTAAAGTACTTCCCAGTATCGAAAGAATGCATGAAATGGTTTTTTATTTATTTATTAATTTGTAAGAAATAAAATAATTTTTTTAATTAAATTTTCAATATAAATGTCAATAAAGAAATGTCATGAATGAATTCTAATGATTGTATTACTCATTCCAATATAAGAATGAATGGTGAGGGTTTAAGTATCGAGCAAAGTGGATATGTGAGTGATGTGTATAAGCTTTTTTGTCAATAAACAAATATATATATATAAAAGAATGAATGTGACGAAAAAGATAGGTTAGTGAAGATGCTATAAGAATGAATGTTATTATTATTATTATTGGACTATAGTCTACAAAATTTATTTAATTGACCAAATAAGATCACAAATGAAATTATGTTGAATAGAGTCAAAGACTTCAAAGTCACAGTAAGTAAATGTTAGGGCATGGCAAGGCCACGAGGAGTTGGAATTCTAAGAAGAATAGACCACATGAACGAGACCAGCACTGAGCCTTCAAATACGTTCAAACATATTTTCTGCAGTAATGGATACGGACTTCAATGAGGAGATTAATTGGCTTTGAACAAGACCTCCACCAAGCCTTCGATTACACTCACAGATTGTCTCTCTATGCATGGGACGTGGATTATATTCCCGGAATTCTATTTTTCTGTTGGGTCACCGAAAACCAAACCAGAAACTCGTGTTAGGGCATCCGGTATGGTGTGTTGTTTAGTTGGACTATATATGCATATATGTTTTTTGAGTCACGTCAGTGCTCTTTGTAAATATAACTATTCTTTTTAGTGTGTCAGATAGACCCGCCAATTTAACAGAGAAGAGAAAAAAAAAAAAAATGGAGTGGGGGCCACACTTTTAATGGTCATTAGTATTTAAGTTTTAAATTTGATGAGAATTCATCTTTTTGTTACTTCGAGACACTTTAAAAGAATTTTATTTAGGTTTAGTTACCAAAATCTAATATTTCTTAGTCTCACAAAAAAATTTGTCTAATGACCAATAAGTTCTGTCGGAAAATTAAACCAAATACATGAACCAATTGAGTATAGAATACATAAACCAACTCATACGTAGAATACATGAACTATCTCATTGGGAGATAAAACATTTTTGTTAAAGTTAGTATTTTATTTATTGTCTCGTCTTTTGTGTCTTTTTAGAGTCATGTAATGATGCCTATAAACACACATTCTTAAATTCTTTTGTAACTAAGAAGTGAGAAAGAAATATATCAGAATTTGAGAGTTTTATATAAAAGTTGTGTGCATTCGCCTTCTTCATATTAAATGCCTCTTACAAATTAATATCAGAGCCCCTTACAAACTGATATCAAAGCCACAATGATTCTATGAATCTGTAAGTATGAAAGGTGGAGTGATTTTGAAACATGAAGTAAAATAAAATTTGGCTCATGAAAAATCAACTCAAACAAGATTCAAGGAGGAGGTCCAAAGATCGAAAAAAAAATGAATGAAAATTTGATTCCTTCGAATTATGCCTACTAGAGCAATATCATTTCGATTTATCTTAATTAAAGCATGTGGTTTTTGGTATGGTGTGATAAAAAATTTAAAGTGTTTTCAGCTAAACAAAATTCAAGAACAAAAAGAAGAACAGGTGCTGAAGATACTGAAAAATACAGTTCATCAAGAAGTTTGGAAGCATGTTGAAAATTTGAAATCTCCAAGTCAGACATGACAAAAGCTTGAATTTATGTCTTCATCCAATTATAAATTCAAATCAGTATCAACTGAATATTGGTTCCCAAATTATAATGAAGATGGATTTTTTGAAGAAATTGTTTGCGAAGATGAAAATGAAGATAATTTTGATGAGATGGAAGAAAAAGAAGATTTAGAAAAAGGAGAATTTGATGAGAAAAGTAGAAAAATGGAAAATGAGAAAATTTTAGAAGTGGAGGTTAAAATAGAAGCAAAAGGAGTTAATGGTGATGAAGAAAAACTTTTGAGAGAAGAAAAAGAGGAAAAAGAAGAATTAGTAAATACTAATGGTGAAGTACTCAAAGACGTAGAATTCGAAAAAAATCAAGTTAAAGAAAGTAGGAAAGAAATAGATAGTGAAGTGTTCACAAAAGAAGAAAATATCAGAGTTGAATTTGGTGGAGGAATTGAAAATCTTGTTGAAGAAATATTGAGGAATTTTTCTATATGATATTTCTCAAATGATACAACATGGGTGAACATGGAAACATTCTTTAATTCAAGTAAGTAAGTCATCAGTAAATTCATGAAGTTTGAAAATTTTCAAGCCAAGCTTAAGAACCACAGTGAAGATAACTTCTAGTTTGGGTGAAGAAAAAAATAGACTCATAAAGAAGACAAGATGCAAAGTTTGCATAGCAAAGGAGATTGCAAAGAATATTTTTGCATTTGAAAGCATTGGAAATTTGATGTACTTAATAGCTAAAAGGTCAAATATAATGTTTGCGGTAAGTTTGATTAGCCGATTAATTCATGGTTAAACCACATTCAAGTTATTGGGAGGCTGCATAAAGAATTTTGAGGTACATTGATTATTATATTTTTTATCAAGCAAATGTTTCGGTTAAACTTGTTGGCTACACAGATAGTGACTTGGCGGGAAGTATTGATGATAGTAAGAGCACATCCGACTATGTCTTTAATCTTAGAAGTGATGTAATTTCATGGAGTTCAAAGAAGCAAGCTATTGTGGCTCTTTCGACAACGAAAGTGGAGTATATTACTGCCGCACTTGCCAGTTGTCAAATCATTTGGTTGCAAGGTATTTTGAAAAATCTCAAGCACAAGCAAGAATGGCCAATAACATTATTTTGTGACAATAGTTCAACTATCTCTATTCTACATGGAAGGACGACGCATATTCGCATCCGTTATATATCATTTCTTAAAGGAGCTTGTCAATGAAGGAATTATTCAAGTTGAATATTGTAAGACGGATGAACAATTGGCAGATTTATTCACAAAGCCTCTTGGTGGAATTTTATTCAAGAATAATCTTACAAAGTTAGGAATGAAAAGCAAATTTGGTTTATGGGAGGCATTGTTGGAAAATTAAACCAAATACATAAATCAAATCAAGTGTGGAATATATGAACCAACTCCAGTGTGAAATGCATGAACTATCTCATTGGGAGATGAAACACTTGTGTTAAAGTTAGTGTTTTATTTATTATCTTGTCTTTTGTGTCTTTCTAGAGTCATGGTGTCTATAAATACATATTCTTGAATTCTTTTGTAAGCAAGAAGTGAGAAAGAAATATATCAAAATTTGAGAGTTTTGTATAAAAGTTGTGTGTATTCTCTTTCTTCATATTGTACTAAATAAATCTTTTTCTTTTCTTTTCTTTTTTTTATAAAGGTTTTCATATTAGTTACAAAACTATGCAAGCAAGAAGTGAGAAAGAAATATATCAAAATTTGAGAGTTTTATATAAAAGTTGTATGTATTCTCCTTCTTCATATTGTACTAAATAAATCTTTGTTTTTTTTTTTTTTTTAAAGGTTTTCAAATTAGTTATAAATCTATCGAACTTTCAACTTTAATTTTTTATAACATGTGATTATATACTTTCAATTTGTTGAATATTTATACAGTTTGAGTGTTCTTAATTTAAAAAGATATAAATAGCAATGTTGTTTATTATTTGAAAAGCATTTGAACGAATTTTCTTATATTTTAGAAAGTTGAATATTTAATAGCTAAGTTTATAAAATGAGGGTAGGGAGTGTTAATCGATAACAAAATATTAAAACATGTTTGGATAGTTAAGAGGTTAATTTTAATGCTATGGAGTTTTGGAGCACCTATTGAGATGTAGTGCAATTTTATTGTATTAGGTACTAATTTTTATTATTTAGGTTTCTTATTTATTTATATATAATTTTATAGCAAGTTTAATATTAGCCTTTTTTTCTTTTTCTTTTTTTTTGTTTAGTTTCCTTACTATATAATGGACTAAATTTTTATTTAGTATAAATAGGTGTAAGGTGCGCCAAACATAGCATTAAAGCTATTCAAGCTATTCAAGTCAGTCTCCAAAGAATGGCTCTCTCTCATCTCCACTCCTCTCTCTCTCCTCTTCTGGCAATCCCATCATCATCCCAAAGTCTCCGGCCTTTTCTTCGACCCTAGATCCGGAACTGAAACCATCAAATACATTCCTCTCACTCACTCCAACGACTTGAGGAATCAATGTGATATTGCAGCTGTTATTAATGGTGGAGAAGAAAACAATTCACCACCTCTCTTTCCTCGTGCTAGCACTAGAATCATAGACTCTCGTAATGGTTTTCTACCTATCTCTTTTAATAAGAAGCAGAGCTGTAGTTCCGGTTGAAGGCGGTGTGATGCATATAAACTTCTTGTCAATAAACATATATATATAAAAGAATGAATGTGACGAAAGTGATAGATTAGTGAAGGTGCTATAAGAATGAATGTTATTATTATTATTATTGGAATATAGTCTACAAAATTTATTTAATTGACCAAATAAGATCACAAATGAAATTATGTTGATTAATGGAGTCAAAGACTTCAAATTCACAGTAAGTAAATGTTAGGGCACGGCAAGGCCACGAGGAGTTGGAATTCTAAGAAGAATAGACCACAAGAACGAGACCAGCACTGAGCCTTCAAATACGTTCTAACATATTTTCTGCAATAATGGATACGGACTTCAATGAGGAGCTTAATTAGCTTTGAACAAGACCTCCACCAAGCCTTCGATTATGCTATGCATGGTACATGGATTATATTCCCGGAATTCTATTTTCCTGTTGGCCACCGAAAACCCAACAAGAAACTCGCGTTAGGGTATCCGGTATGGTGCATATTGATGTTGTTTAGTTGGACTATGCATATATGTTTTCTGAGAGTTACCTCATGGCTCTTTATAAATATAACCATTCTTTTTTGTGTGTCACCGGAGATAGACCCGCCAATTTAAAAGAGAAAAAAAAAAAGAAAAATGGAGTGGGGGGCCACACTTCTAATGGTCATTAGTATTTAAGTTTTAAATTTGATGAGAATTCATCTTTTTATTACTTTGAGTCACTTTAAAAGAATTTTGTTTAGGTTTAGTTACCAAAATCTAATTTTCCCTACTCTCACAATTTTTTTTTTTTTTTTTTCTTCCCTTCTAATGGCCAATAAGTTCTACTATTTTTCAATAAGAATAAGTAAATCTTTGTTTTTTTTATAAAGGTTTTCATATTAGTTATAAATCTATCGAACTTCCAACTTTAATTTTTTATAACATGTAAGTATATACTTTCAATTTGTTGAATATTTATACAATTTGAGTGTTCTTAATTTAAAAAGATTTACTTCATTCTCTAAAATAGCAATGTTGTTTATTATTTGAAAAGCATTTGAATGAATTTTATTATATTTTAGAAAGATGAATATGTAATAATTAGCTAAGTTTATAAAATGAGGGTAGGGGATGACAATCGATAACAAAATATTAAAACATGTTTAAGGATGGAGTTTTGGAGCACCTATTGAGATGTAGTATAATTTTATTATGTTTAGTACTAGTTTTTATTATTTAGGTTTCTTGTTTATTTATATATAATTTTATAGCAGTTTAATAATAGCGAGTTTTTTTGTCTTTTTTTTTTTTTTTTGTTTAGTTTCCTTATGTTATAAAATTTTGTAACTTCTTAGGTTTCCTAATGGCGAAATTTTTATTTATTATTTATTATTTATTATAAATACATGTAAGTCTTTATTTTTGTACAAGCTCCAAACAATACACATATATATATCTGTATATCTATTCTGATTTCCCTTCTCTCTCTACAACACGGATCCGCCTACTTCCTGGGACTCCTTGCGGAAACAGGTCGATTCCTCTCCCTCCCACCAATATATCGACATATCTGTATATATGTATGTTTTTGTATAGCATTAAAGCTATTCAGTATTTTATTAGGATTTGATTTCGCTGTATAAAGTCCTTTAGAACCGAAAAAGTTTGATTGAATGGCTTCCATCGCTGCTGCTAAAATCATCGGCGGGGACCTGGCGGTGGAGATCCTTCAGCATCTGTCGGCGAAATCCCTCTTTCGGTTCAAGTCAGTCTGTAAAGCATGGCTCTCTCTCATCTCCACTCCTCGCTTCTCTCTCCTCTTCTGGCAATCTCATCATCATCCCAAAGTCTCCGGCTTTTCTTTGACCCTAGATCCCAAACTGTAACCATCCAATACATTCCTCTCACTCACTCCGGCGACTTGAGGATTCAATGTGATATTGCAACCCTTATTAATGGTGGAGAAGAAAACAATTCACCACCTCTCTTTCCTCCTGATATCTATGCTAGAATCATAGACTCTCGTAATGGTTTTCTACTCATCTATTTTACTAAGCTGCAGAGCTGTAGTTCCGATTGGAGGCTGTCGTACCATGTTTATAATCCTACTACCAAGCAATTCTCTACTCTTCCGTGGCCTTTTCCGACTTCTTCCTTTGGTGACAATATATATTTGGTTTTCGATCCTTTAAAATCACTTCACTACAAAGTTGTTTTGGTTAAGGCTTCAAAGCATGGTAATGCCTACTTGATTCAAATACATATTTATTCGTCGGAAACCAATGACTGGGGGAGATCACCACTGGATGATCATATTGGTGATTTTCATAGTGTGGACTTGAGTGAAGGAGTCTATTGCAATGGTTCCATCCATTGGCTTTCTTACCGCGAAGAAAAATCTTCCTTATACTTCGACGTCGATCAAGAAATATTTTGCCCAATGCCATCTCCACCATATAACTACGATGCAGGTTTTAAATGCCGGCATTTTGGGGAGTCCGGAGGTCATTTGCATTATATTAGATATTATGATAATAGGGGATTCAATGTCAACGTTTCGGAGATAGAAAGTGATTACTCCAAGTGGACAACAAAGTATCGAGTTTGCCTTAACACGATGATTGTTGATCTTGCATTAGAGGTTGTCTGCAAGAATACAAAGCTTAGTTTAATCCATGGCGAAGATGAAGGGGATGTGTTTTTGGTACTTCTCATAGGCACCGAGATGAATTATATGATCTTCTCATACAACATTAAGGAGAACACCTTTAAGAAGCTTGTTGTACCACGCCGTCCTTGGTATGATAGGGTTTTGTGGGGTAGACACTCTTGTATCTATCGTTACATTGAGACA